TGCGCTGCTGACCTCAACTCAGAACATTGTGGGTCGGTGGGCGGAATACTTCGAAGACCTCCTCAATCCTACCGACACGTCTTCCCATGAGGAGGCAGAGCCTTGGGACCCTGGGTCAGACTCTCCAATCTCTGGTACCGAGGTCACCGAGGTGGTTAAAAAGCTCCTTGGTGGCAGGGCGCCGGGGGTGGATGAGAGTCGCCCGGAGTTCYTTAAGGCTCTGGATGTTGTGGGGTTGCATTGGTTGACRCGACTACAATATCACTTGGACATCAGGGGCAGTTCCCCTGGATTGGCAGACCAGGCTGGTGGTCCCCTGATTTAAAAAGGAGGACCACAGGGTGTTCCAACTATAGGGGGATCACACTTCTGAGCCTCCCTGGTAAGGTCTATTCGGGGGTTCTGGAGAGGAGGGTTCGTCGGATAGTTGGATCTCAGATTCAGGAAGAGCAGTGTGGTTTTTGTCCTGGTCGTGGAACAGCAGCCTAGCTCTACACCCTTAGTAGGGTCCTGGAGGGTGCATGGGAGTTCGTCCAACCAGTCTACATGTGTTTTGTGGACTTGGAGAAGGCGTTCGACCATGTCCCTTGGGGACTCCTGTGGGGGTTCTCCGGGAGTTTGGGGTACCAGGCCCATTAATATGGGCTGTTAGGTCCCTGTATGACCGGTGCCAGAGCTTGGTCCGCATTGCCGTTAGTAAGTCGGACTCGTTTCCAGTGATAGTTGGACTCCGCCAAGGTTGCCCTTTGTCACCAATTCTGTTCATAACTTTTATGGACAGAATTTCTAGGTGCAGCCAAGGTGTTGAGGGGATCCTTTTTGGTGGCCTTAGGATCACGTCTCTGCTTTTTGTGGATGATGTAGTCCTATTGGCTTCATCATATCTTGATCTCCAGCTCCCACTGGAGCAGTTCGCAGCCGAGTGTGAAGCGGCCAGGATGAAGATCAGTGCCTCCAAATCCAAGACCATGGTCTTGAGCTGGAAACTGGTAGTGTGCTGCCTCCDGGTCGGGGAGGAGGTCCTGCCCCAAGTGGAGGAGTTTAAGTATCTCGGGGTCTTGTTCACGAATGAAGGAAGAATGGAGCGAGAGATCGACAGGCGGATTGATTCCGCATCTGCAGTGATGAGGGCGCTGAACCGGTCTGTCGTGGCGAAGCGGGGGCTGAGCCAGAAGGCAAAGCTCTCGGTTTACCKGTCGGTCTACATTCCTACCCTCATCTATGGTCACAAACTTTGGGTAGTGACCGAAAGAACGAGATTGCGGATACAAGCGGCCGAAATGAATATCCTTCACAGGGTGTCTGGGCTCTCCCTTAGACATAGGGTGAGAAGCTTGGTCATCTGGGAGGGACTCAGAGTAGAGCCGCTGTTCCTCTACATCAAGAGGAGCCAGTTGAGGTGGCTTGGGCATCTGGTTAGGATGCCTTCTAGACGCCTCCCTGGTGAGGTGTTCCGGATACGTGCCACTGGGAGGAGGCCCAGAGGAAGACCCAGGACACGCTGGAGGGACCATGTTTCTCGGCTGGCCTGGGAACGCCTTGGGATTCCACTGGACGAGCTGGTGCAAGTGGTTGGGGAGAGGGAAGTCTGGGTCTTTCTGCTTAGGCTGCTGCCCCCGCGACCCGATCCCGGATAAGCGGCAGAAAACGGATGGACGGACAAAGCAGATGCCTGTGAAGTGGAAGTGAAACAAAACTATGGGTTACTACATAAAACTAAACTTTACATAAAATGTTTTACACTGACATTACCTGGGTTTGAACCTGCAGCTGAGAGAAGCTGATGGTCACTCTGGAGCAGCTGCAGAGTCCACAGCTCAGGAAGGACAATCTGTCCAAACGACTGCTGTTAAAACTCCAAAAATAAGTTTTTATTTTTTAAAGATATWAAAATAAAACCATTGATGAAAGAGAGTTGTAGTTTGACACAAGTCCTGTTAGGTTTGAATGTAATGTTACACATCGTCCACAGTGTGAAACATGGTGGTGGCAGCATCACGATGGGGTGGGGAGGGGGCGGGTTATTTTATGGAAGCTGGTCAGAGTTAATGTGAAGATAGATGAACTATCCTCTTAAAGACTGGAGAACTTCACCTTCTGTCACATCTCCAATGAAATGTATCAGATCAAAGCATGATGGGTGTGTCCAAATTCAAGGGCTGCATCCTTCAAAGAACCTACTCAGTCTACATGGGTCAGATCTTTTGTCGACCTCAAAGATCAGAAGAAATTGGCTGTGAATTTGGATGGTCTAGCTTTCAGCTTCTATGTCCTTCAGACACCTAGCAAACATGACAATGGCAAACAGAAGTAATAAAGATCGAGAAAAGATTGAAATTAGCAAAATATTTTTATATTAACAATAAATTAACAAACCAAGGGACTCAACATACAAGCATATTTAAAGGGATCCATGATTAGATAATATTAGACTTTATTTAATAAACATATAACTGTAAAATAAAGACTGTAAAAATACTGCAGGCTGTTTAGTTTTTTAATTTTTAAACTAAAAGTTAAAAAATAGTATTACATGGATGAGACCATTTTATTTACACGCAAAGCATTCTGGGTAAATGATGACGTGGATAGGTCCTCGGTGCGAGGCTGCTAGCGAGCTATATCCACCCTGAAGGTTAATCTTGGACAATATCTGACGATTGGCTCTTTTAATGTGCAAATTTCCCCACTGTGGGATCAATAAAGTTTTATCTTATCTTATCTTATCTTATCTTATCTTATCTTATCTTATCTTATCTTATCTTATCTTATCTTATCTTATCTTATCTTATCTTATCTTATCTTATCTTATCTTATCTTATCTTATCTTATCTTATCTTATCTTATCTTATCTTATCTTAAATGAAACCAGAGAGAGTTGGCAGAGAGGAGAAGGTAGAAATGACTCAGCCTGCAACTGGAAATATGGATGTAGGACCTCGTGCTAGCACTGAGCTAATAGGCTTACATATAAGGCAATATAGCGTCGGCACTAGCACATCTGCTTTTACGAGCAAAAAAAACTAACCAGTCTACCCATGGGCCAACAAGGATCCACCGGACTCGTCCCYCAAATCAGGGGAAAAGGAGGACCTGTGGGCCTTGTGGGTCGCAATTGTCCAAGTCTTCAAATTTGAACAGCCTTCTGTGCGTTGCTGTGACTTCAAATTTGGCCTTCGAAGGACACAGCCCCTCAGTCCAAATGTTAGAGTGAATATCCAGCTGATGATCTCTGAGAAGACTTGAAAATTATTGGCAGACAATAAACTGTTTGGCAAAGAAGAATGGTGAAATACTTCCACATCTAATGGAGACAAACTCAATCTGATCCACACTAAAATAAATGAGATCAAATCAGGATTTGTTTTATTATAAATGTTTTTTCTTCCTGTGCAGATCTACAGTCATTTTTCATTCATTTGACCCTCCTTAAGTTCAAAAATGAAACGTTATAGTAAACGGAGCTGCCTCCTCTCTGTCTGAGCCCGGCTCTTCAGCCGGCAGCAGATGGAGAATACRCCACATTGTTGGGTATCAGGTTCTCTCTTTGGAAAGATGCAGCGTGGTCTGATGGACCACTCCCATCGATCCAACATTCCCATCCTCCTTTCTCTTCTTCATCAGCAGCTGCTCAGACCCTCCCTGCCTGGCAGCTGCTGGGTAGGAGGAGGAGGAGAGGAAGAAGAGAATGTTCTCTCCTGGCTGGCGGCCATGACAGCTTCCTGTTTTCTTATCCTATCTGCTGTTCATTTTGAGCAAATTAACAAAATGTATGAACAGTCACATCTGCACGTGGTTGTGCTTATTTCAGATTTATTTGATTCCCTTCATATTTTGCAATATTTCAGACAACGTAAAGATTTTAAACTGCAATGCATCTTGTGAGTAAGTTATTTCACAGAAAGTGCCACTGAGGCAGATTCAGTTCCTCCAACAGGGCGGAAACAGGCAGCAGGGAAGGCTGAACAGCAGGAGGGGTTATCTGCGGAATCAAAGTGGGCGTGTCACAAGAGTAGGCGTGTCAAAAGCATAAACACTGTCGGCTACGAGGCCTACATGACGGTATCCTTAGACCCTGCTTCATCTCTTTACAGCCTGACCCTGACCCCAACACTAAGGTTAACCAGGAGAAATGTGACCCAATTAGGGTTCTCCAGAAAAAGTGGTGCCGTACAGTAACGCCTCTTTTGTTCTTGTCCAATCAGGTGGTGCCGTACGGTATCGCCTCTTTTTTTGCTTGTCCAGTCAGGTGTGTCCCTTTAACAAAGTCCGTCAAATCAGGTGTGTCCCTTTAACAAAGTCCGTCAAATCAGGTGTGTCCCTTTAACAAAGTCCGTCAAATCAGGTGTGTCGCTTTAGAATCGCCTTTCTTTGTGACACACCCACTCATCCGCAGAGACCCGTACTTGAACAGCAGAGACAGTCACGTGATCGGCCCACAGGATGACATCATTGCAGAGRAACTGGGACAAAGAGGGAGGAGAGCAGAGCTAGGGATGGACACCATGCCACAGCTCTGCAGCATGGACCGTGGATCAGAACAAATCCTCACGTGCAGTGGGAGAATCTGATGATTCTGTCTCAAAATCAGACATTTAGGCTCATTCTGCTGCTCTGCAGAACAACAC